AAATAATTCTCTAGGGTTCTCAAAAAACTAGTGAAGCGTTGGATGCCCTTAATGCATTTGAAGCGAAACTGAATAAAGTCAGAGAAGACCGAGAAAATATGATTAAAGCGAAGGGTGCTTTGGAAATGGCTGAACCATTGGCATCAGGCGCTCATTCTGCTAGACTTGATGTCGCTATAGAGGAGCTATCAGATCTTAAGGGTAGAAGACTTTTATTCTAAAGTTAATTATTACTTTGAAGAATATTAATTTTCTTTTTTATTATTTTACGTAGTTCATTGTATTCAGTTCATTGTACTTTAAATTACAGCGGTGTGGCAAGCTTTGGTTCCTTTGTATAATTCGGTTGAAGAACTGAAGGAGAAAACATGGCTTTCTGTTCAGCCAAGGAAGTTGCGGCAGAGTCTTGATGAGCTTCTTGCTCAGCTGAAACAGTTACCAGCAAAATTCCGTTCTTACGATTCGTATAACTACGCAAAGAAGGCATTACAAAATTATTCAAAGGCAATACTTAAGTTTCTACTCACTTATCGCTTTGTGCTTTTACCTCTCTTTTTTCACTTCCAATGTATAGCAGTTGTTTCTAAATATCTTACTTGCATTGTTTTTTAGATGAACATGATTGTAGTTGAATTAAAATCTGAGGCCCTCAAAGAGCGACACTGGAAACAACTGATGAAAGAGCTTCGAGTGTCGTGGAATCTTTCTGAATTGACTTTAGGGCAGATTTGGGATGCTGACCTATTGCGTCATGAATCTGTCATAAAAGATGTTCTTTCCGTTGCTCAGGGGGAGCTTGCTTTGGAGGAGTTCCTCAAACAAGTAAATGCTTCATACCTTTTATATATCATATCTATAGTGAAAAACGAGTTAGCAGCGCGTAATCTTTTGTGTTCCGCTTTTAGGTTCGGGAATACTGGCAGTCTTTCGAAATAGATCTTGTTAACTATCAAGGTAAGACAAGGTTAATTCGTGGCTGGGACGAGCTCTTTAACAAGCTCAAAGAACATATGAACTCGCTAACAGCAATGAAATTGTCGCCGTACTACAAGCAGTTCGAAGAGGTATTAGGTTAACAGGAAATAAGTCTACTCAATTCATGTTTGAAAAAAGTTTTTGAAGTCATGCGATAGACAAGGTGTGTTCGTTGTTGACTTCTAAAACTAATAAGCATTTCAGAATGCACTTTCTTGGGAAGAAAAGTTGAACAAGATAAGTGCGTTATTTGATGTTTGGATCGACGTGCAGCGGCGCTGGGTTTATCTTGAAGGTCTTTTTACAGCATCTGCAGACATCGCTAACTTATTGCCAGTAGAAACAGCCCGTTTTGCTAGGTTTGTTTTGCGTAGCTAAAACAGTTGTGAAGGATGATTTCTTTGATGACTTTGAACTGTTATAATTTGATTTTTAGCATTTCGACAGAGTTCCTCGCTTTAATGAAGAAGGTAACGGCAGCTCCTCGGATTTTGGATGTTATTAATATGCAAGGGGCGCAACGAGTGCTGGAACGTCTTGCAGATATGCTAGCCAAAATTCAGAAAGCACTCGGTGAATATTTGGAACGGGAGCGGAGTTCATTCCCTCGTTTTTATTTCGTTGGTGATGAGGATCTTTTGGAAATTATGGGAAATAGGTACGGTTCAATTAATTGGGAACACATTACTTAGCAGTTCTTAAAATTTTTCTTATTTTTTCAGCAAAGACATAGCAAGGCTGCAAAAACATTTGAAAAAAATGTTTGCTGGCATAACTTCCATTGATATAGATGAAGAAAACTTACTTGTTTTGGCATTAAACAGTCGTGAGGGCGAAAGAGTGCAGTTAGTCAAGCCAGTTAGTATAAAGGTCTGTGTGTTTTTCAATAACTGACATTTTTTTTGTGATAAGGTTTTTATTTAAAATATTTTTTTGCAGGAGAATCCTCGTATCAATGATTGGCTGAGGCTAGTCGAAAATGAAATGCGTAGTACTTTAGCGGTCTTGTTGAATCGCTCTCTTGATGAATTTTCAAAGCTAGAAATTAGTTGTGAAGAACCGCAGAAGTTTATGGAGTGGCTGGACAATTATCCGGTAATGAAAGGCTTTTTAAGTATCTTTATTTTCAATTTTCTCATTGCTAAATTATCTGTAGAATTGCGATATCAAGCGGATGACGAGAATGCTTCTTGAATTATTTTTTTTTATAGGCTCAGGTGATTGAATTAACAGCAAATATTTGGTGGTGCAGTCAGGTTGAAAAAAAATTTGCTGAGGGAGGAGGTGTCGAAAATGTTGCCGGAGTAGTGGATGTTGCTCTTTCTTTATTAGCTGATAGTGTCCTCAAGGAACAACCTCCTATCCGTCGGAAGAAGATTGAGGCTTTGGTACGCACTTACTGAATGATATTGCTGGATGTAATTAAGAAGTTTACAGAAATTTTGTCATGTTGATAACTTTTTCAGATTACTGAGTTTGTACATAAGCGGGACATTTGTCGTACTCTTATTGCTAACCAAGTTAATTCACTAACGAGTTTTCACTGGTTACGGTGTATGCGTTTCTATTACGAACCTAGACAGCCTGATCGCTGCTGCACAGTAAAAATGGCTAATGCACAATTTCCGTACGGATTTGAATATCTTGGTCTACAAGAAAAGTTGGTGCAAACACCTCTGACAGATCGCTGTTACCTGACTATGACACAAGCTCTGCATTCAAGGTTCGATTTTACTCTTGACTTCTTTGGTTTTTTTCAATGACTTAAATTTCATTGCATTACTCTTTGCAGATTAATTGGAAAGCAGAATGCGTATTTCCTAGAATATTTTAATTTTATTGTTTCCAGGTTGGGTGGTAGTCCATTTGGCCCAGCAGGCACTGGTAAGACAGAGAGCGTCAAAGCTCTAGGCCATAAACTAGGTCGTTTTGTACTTGTTTTCAACTGTGACGAGACCTTTGACTTCCAGGTTTTTTATCGCAATTAATGTGAAATTTTTGGTTCGGGATTTCTATAGTTTGAGATTGGTGGTTGTAAAGTATTGTCTTCTTTATTATTACTTCAGGCAATGGGAAGAATCCTTGTTGGTTTGTGTGAAGTCGGTGCTTGGGGGTGCTTTGATGAATTTAATCGTTTAGAAGAACGCATGCTTTCCGCAGTAAGTCAGCAAATTCAAACCATACAGGAAGCAGTTCGGGCTGGCGGCGAAATGAAGGTTCTGAAAGAACTGAATTATTAGAATAAAGTTCCATTTGGTAGCCGTCTTTTTTAAATTCCTACTGTTAAGGTTGACTTGGTTGGTAAAACGCTTTCTGTCAATGCAAATATGGCGATATTCATTACAATGAATCCCGGGTATGCTGGACGGTCAAGTTTGCCGGATAATTTAAAACAGGTAAGCAAAGTTTTACCTCGCTTCGGTGGTTTTTTATTGTTATGGAAAAATTTTCAAGCAGCTCAAAAAAAATATTTTTATTTGGTTGAAATTACAGCTTTTCCGATCTCTTGCAATGACACAACCAGACCGTCAGTTAATTGCTCAAGTCATGCTCTTCTCACAAGGCTTTCGTACCGCAGAAAGGCTTGCTAATAAAATTGTTCCACTCTTTATGTATGTTAAGCATTTAATTTCTGAGCGTGTTTTTTAAAAACGTTTTAAATTGACACTATATTTTCGTTATCTCATAATGTAGATTATATGGAACTCTATTTAGTTTATGTAAGGAACAGCTTTCGGACCAGTGCCATTACGATTTTGGCCTGCGTGCTCTGAAATATGTGCTTGTAAGCGCTGGTAATATTAAACGTGATGAAATTCAGAGGGTGATCGAGAAAGGCGGTGTAAGTTTTGATGCAAGAAACAGTCTATAAACTCTCGCGTGAATTTGTTCACCTTTTTAATTTAGGTTTCTGAAAGTGACATATCAAGCACTGTCTCTGAGCAACAAATTCTCATTCAATCTGTGTGTGAAACACTTGTTCCTAAACTCGTTTCTGAAGATATTGCTCTTTTGTTTTCTCTACTTTCTGACGTTTTTCCATCCGTTGATTATAAACCGAGTGAAATGTCAGAGTGAGTTGGCTCTTTTTTTTTTTT